GTGCGGGCCTGGCGCGGGTGACGAAGTTGACGGGGCCAGTGGGGCCGAGGCGACGGGCTACGTACGGGCCGGGCAACGGGCTAGGTACGAGCTGGGCGACAAGCTAGGTACGGGCCGGGCGCAGGCGACGAAGACGGCGGGGCCAGCGGGGCCGAGGCGACGGGCTACGTACGGGCCTGGCGACGAGCTAGGTACGGGCCGGGCGCGGGCGACGAAGACGGCGGGGCCAGCGGGGCCGAGGCGACGGGCTACGTACGGGCCTGGCGACAAGCTAGGTACGGGCCGGGCGCGGGCGACGAAGACGGCGGGGCCAGCGGGGCCGAGGCGACGGGCCGGGCGCGGGCGACAAAGTCGACGGGGCCAGCGGGGCCGAGGCGACGAGCTAGGTACGGGCCGGGCGACGGGCTAGGTACGGGCCGGGCGCGGGCGACAAAGTCGACGGGCTAGGTACGGGTAGTGCAGTAGGTGGTGGGCCCATTGAGACTAGGTCCTAAGACTTAGTTGCTCTTAATACCATGTTAGAATCCTTAGGTGAGGATGATGGACTAGGAAGCAAGGAAGGGTACAAGTAGAATGTCGAGAGAATTATGTACCCCCTAAGGCTAAACCCACTATAGCCTAGACAAATGTAAACACATGAACTAAGCCTAGATATAACTAAGCATATATGTTTGACACCTCGTGCCTTTGTCCGCGATACTTCCGTGGACAAGCTCTCCTCCCGCGCCATTCCCTGCGTCTTCCTTGGCTTTCCCCCCGATGCGCCTGGCTGGCAGTTTCACCACCCCAACTAGCGCCGTGTCCTGCCTTCTCAGGACGTCCACGTTTGACGAGTCGGTTCCCTTTTACCGTCTCTTCCCCTATTGCATTGCCCCTCCCCCCCCCCCCCCCCCCCCCCCCGCCCCCCCGCGCTCTTCCTCGCTCCTGGCCCCCCTCCAGTAGACCCCCTCCCCCCTCAGGGTCCTGCTCCCTCAGGTGTATCTAAGGTAAACCCACTCCCCCTGGCTGAGCCTGTCGAGGTCATTGTAGACTCTAGTGCTATAGGGGGTGGTGCTGCTAGGGGTGCTGCGTCTTGGGGTGCTGAGCTTGCAGGTGCGGAGCCTGGGGGTGCTGAGCCTGCGAGTGCAGAGCGTGGGGGTGCTGAGCATGAGGGTGCGGAGCTTGGGGGTGTTGAGATTGAGGGTGCGGAGCCTGGGGGTGCTGAGTCTGAGGGTGCAGAGTCGGGGGTTGCTGAGCGTAGGGGTACTGCGTCTGCCGGAGGACCTGCGGGTGCCTCGCCACGAAAGTCTCGCCGGCGGGAGCCTCTCTCACCGCGGCAGCTGCACGAGTGGTTTGCTCCGTGCACACGCTTTAGGAGTGGCGCTGCAGGAGCTGGAGGCCCTGCCGCTAGAGGCACTGGAGCTGGAGGTGCTGGAGCTACTAGTCCTGGAGGTGCTGGAGTTACTGCTGGAGCTGGAGTTACCGGAGGTGCTGGAGCTGCTGGTCCTAGAGGTGCTCGTACTAGAGGTACAGGAGCTGCCGGAGCAGGTGGTGTTGGAGGCGCTCGAGCTGGAGAACCTAGAGCTGGAGGCACTGGAGCTGGAGGAGCCGGAGCAGGAGGCGCTGGCGCTGGAGCCGCTAGAGCTGGAGGAGCTGGAGCTGGAGACCCTAGAGTTGGAGGCGCTGGAGCTAGAGGCGCTGGAGCTGGAGGCACTGGAGCCGGACACCCTGGAGCTGGAGGCACTGGAGCTGGAGACCCTGGAGCTGGAGGCGCTGGAGCTGGAGGAGCTGGAGCTGGAGGCGCTGGAGCTGGAGACGCTTGCGCTGGAGGTGCTCGAGATGGAGGAGCTAGAGCTGGAGGCACAGGAGCTGGAGGCTCTAGAGCTGGAGACTTTGGAGCTGGAGGTGCTTGTGCTGGGGGTGCTGGAGCTGGCAATACTAGTGCTGGAGGCACTGTGCAGCGGCGACCGTTTTTTGTTCCGCCGCCGCCATCTTTGTCGCCACCTGGCTCGGTCCTTCGCCAGGTTCTTAGTCTCCCGTCTTCTACTGGCCTTACTCCTCCCTTACTGTGTCCACCGCCTCACCAGTCGCAACCACAGTTACAGCCAGACTCCCCAGTGCCTACTCCTTCTCCTTACGCTGAGCAGACAGACTCTCTTACAGAGCGTCGTAAGCCTGCGTCTCGTCCTGCCTTGCCTGTTCGCGCTGTTCGCACTGGTCATCGTGTTCTTCGTCCGCGTCCTCCTCCTATCCTCGGCACTCTCATTATGGCACTTCAACCTTCCTCTGTTCCACTGCGAGTTCCCCTGCTGTCTCCTCTTGCGTCCTCTCTTGCTGACGGTTCGGACCCTGAGTCTGACTTAGTTCGTGCTGCCAATCCTACTGTCACACGTCTTCTAGCCACTGTTGTCGCTGACCCTTCGTTTGAGTCCGCTGCTGCGTCTGCCCTAGTTGCTGAGCTTGTTGACTTTGCTGCCGCCTGTCGTCTCGACTACGCCGCTAGTCTTGTTGCTGAGTCTGAGTCTGACTGTCCTCCGTCCGTTGGGGGTGAGTCTGCTCTTGGCACGGACGTCCTTGGGAGACCCAGATGCACCAGACATCTTGATTCCGCGCTTTTACGCAGAGGCGATCACGGGTCCCTACTCCTCTCACTGGCAGACAGCCATGGACGCAGAGTTGGCATCCTGGATGTCCACAGGCACCTATGTCGACGCACTTCCCCCTCCTGGGGTGAACATAGTCGATGGCATATGGATTTTCAGGGTGAAGCGGCCGCCGGGTTCTCCGCTTGTCTTCAAGGTTCGTTACGTTGCACGAGGCTTTAGTCAGCGACAGTGAGTTGAGTTCTTCCAGACCTTCTCCCCTACCTTGAAGATTGTTAGAATCCCAACCACTAGACCATTGGGATAAAAGGGCTTGTTAAGTAGCGGGTCAGTGCGCCCATAACCCCCCAGGACAACGAGCCTGTAACCCTTCCCTAGGATCAATCGGGGATCACCAGTAGGCCTCTGACACCCCCCCGCACTGGGATGCCCGAAGTGCATACACTGGGATTCGAACCCGAGACCTTCGCTCTGATACCATGTTAGAATCCCAACCACTAGACCATTGGGATAAAAGGGCTTGTTAAGTAGCGGGTCAGTGCGCCCATAACCCCCCAGGACAACGAGCCTGTAACCCTTCCCTAGGATCAATCGGGGATCACCAGTGGACCTCTGACAAAGATGACCACTCTTTGGGTGCTGCTGCACGTCGCAGCTCAGCGTGACTACGAGCTTCACTCTCTTGACTTCAGCACAGCTTTCTTACAAGGCAGCCTGCACGAGGAGATCTGGCTGCGCCGCCCACCTGGCTTCACTGTGTCGTTTCCTGCAGGTACTCCGTGGAGCCTCCGGCGGGCAATCTATGGTCTCCGCCAGGCGCCTCGCGAGTGGCACGACACACTGAAGACGACGCTTGCGGCTCTTGGGTTTGCTCCTTCTACTGCTGAACCGTCGCTGTTTCTGCGCACTGACTCTTCGCTACCGCTGTTCTACGTCCTTGTGTACGTTGACGACTTGGTTTTTGCCACTACTGACAGTGAGGCACTGGCCCTTGTGAAGTCGGAGCTGCAGAAGAGACACACCTGCACTGACCTGGGTGAGCTGCGCAACTATCTTGGCTTGCAAATCACCCGGGACAGAGCACGGCGCACCATCACCCTGACTCAGTCACACATGGTGCACTAGGTCCTTCACCACATTGGCTTCCGGTACTCCTCGCCACAGTCCACTCCTCTGCCTACTGGTCACTCGCTCTCAGCTCCACCTTCGGATGAGTCCGTAGAGCCGATTGGCATGTATCCATAGCTTGTGGACTGCCTCATGTACCTGATGACCTTCACTCGACCTGACCTTGCCTACCCTCTTAGCATCCTGGCACGCTACGTTGCGCACGGGAGACACCGACTAGAACACTGGGAGGCCGCTAAGAGGGTGTTGCGCTACTTGTGCAGTACATCGGGCATGGGGCTCGTGCTTGGAGGACGGGGTCCAGTTGTCCTCACTGGACACACAGACGCTTCTTGGGTTGACGACTTGGCTACGCAGCGGTCGTCACAGGGTTACATTTTCAGCATTAGCTCCGGCTCTTGGCGGTCTACCCGCTCGTCTTCTGTTCTCAGTTCTAGTTGTGAGGCTGAGATCTACTCAGGGGCCATGGCTACATAGGAGTTATGCTGGCTCACCTACCTGCTGACTAACTTGGGAGAGCAGCCTCGTTTGCCTCCTATTTAGTACGTAGACAACAAGGCCATGATTGCCTTGTGCCAGGAGCACAGACTGGAGCACATGTCAAAGCACATCGCTCTGTGTTACTTCCTTGCTTGAGAGTTGCAGCAGCGTGGTCAGCTTCGTCTTGCATTCGTTGCCACTCGGGCCAACACTGCTGATGTATTCACCAACGCACTTCAGTCTGGTGATCATCAGCGTTTCTGTAATGTTTTAGGCCTTGTGCCTGCTTTGCCTCACTTGCGCAGTGCGTGACTTTGCTTGTACTGTGATCTATACACATATACCTGCATGCTTACCCCTTCTAGGTTATGGTCACTGTACTGTTTGTTCTCGTTTATATAATTCTGCATGTGAACTAGCCTTGTTGCCATTTGCTTGTGCTCAGAGTGTGTGGTGACGTTGTGATCCACCCTGAGCTTGCTTTACTTTTTTCTTGACTGGTCTTGTGACCTCATGTTCTCCCCCACTTTGCCTGTGGGTGTGTGTCAAACTGTTATAATTTTTATATTGTGTAGGCTGTAGTGGGGTAGCCCATAACGGGTACAACCCAATTTGGGTTAGTACTTGTACCAACTTTCTTCTCAATGCAATCATTCCCTCATCTAGATTCTGACATTAGCTGTTACAGTTGTTGGTGGTTCACCTTGCTTACCATTGCCTCTTGTTTGCATAATTTCTTCTTCTCCTTCTCCTTCTCCTTCTTTGTTCGTAACCATCTACCTCCCAAACCTAGGAACTATCTACTTTAACATGACATTAGAGCGACCGATCCTGTGGCCGCCTCCTCTCATGGACCCCTCATTGATCGCCTCGTCACGACCCCACTCCGCCCCACGTCGCGCCCCTCGCAGCCCCCATCGCGGCCCTTGTAGTGGCCCACGACGCACCTGTCGTGCCCCCCATCACGTCCCAAGTCGTGGCCCCCGTCGTGGCCCCCTGTCGTGTCCCCATTCGCGGCCCCTATTGTGCCTGTCCCGGCCCCAGACGCTGTTGAAGTTATATTTATATATAACCTGCTTGTTGCATAGGTGTAGTGTAGTTACATACTTGGTGGTGCACCCTCTCTTGATGTGCTGTGATTGTACTTGTTTGTTCTCCTCGATAGTCCAATCCTCTTTGGCCAACATCTCTTGCTCTCGACACCATACTCCCTAACTCTCGCCATGCTAAAGCCTCCTAAGTTCCTAGCCTAGTAAACGCCTATTTTGACATGGTTTCAAAGCAGTTTCGCTCTAAGAGACTACGATTTTTTGTCATGGGCCCACCACTCGTTTTTACTCTCATGGCCCCAGTCGCGACACTCGTGGCAGCCTCAGCTGCGCCCGTTAAGGCACTCGTCGCGACGACCAACGGGGCGCACTTGGCGCTAATCGTGGCGGCCCCGCTCGTCGGCCCCGTTGCCCCCCTCCCCGCCGCGCCCTCCTGCACCTTCGTCCCGCTCTATCGCGGTCCCGAGCGACTGCAGCAACGGTCCCTTTGGGGGGAGGCGGCAGGTGTGGCGTCCGGGTCGCTGCAGCCGTTTATCGTGTCCCCCCTCGCGCTCTCCCGAGGTGCCGCCCGTCGTCCCGTCACTACTGAAGCGCATGCAGCACCTGCGCGTGCGTCAGCTGCCGCCGCCGCGGGGGGAGGTGATGTGGGTGGTGGGGGTGGTTGACGGCGCTGCTCACGCCATGCTGCTGCTGAAGCCTCGCCACTGTACCGCCGCCCACCTACTCGTCCCTCTCCCAACTGCGCCTGCCGTAGTGGGGAAGGGGGAGGGTGTGTGGGTGGCGGGTAAGGCCAGCAGCCGCCCTTACACCTCTCACTATCTCCTCTCGCTCTCTCTCTACCGCATTTGCTGCGGTGGGGGGGGGAGGAGGGGGAGGTTGAGGGGGTGGGGTGAGGTTAACTGCAGCCTCTCCACTCATCTCCTCACTCCAGTGTGAGAATAAACGAGAGGAATGATGAACTAGGAAACAGGTGGGGTACAAGTAGAAAACACAAAAGTGTTGTACCCTCTAAGGACTACCCCACTACAGCCTAAACAGACTATAGCATATATAAGTTTGACACACCCCCATAGGCAAAGTGGGGGAGAACAAGGGGTCACAAGACCAGTCAAGAAGGTAAAGCAAGCTCAGGGTGGATCACAAAGTCACCACGCAGTCTGAGCACAAGCAAAGGGCCACAAGGCTAGTTCACATGCAGAGTTATATAAAGGAAAGCAAACAATACAGTGAACACAACCTAGCAAGAGTAAGCATGCAGGTATAAGTATATAGAGTACAGTACAAGCAGAGTCAAGAAGTCAGCAAGTGAGGCACAGTAGGTACAAGGCCTAACACAGTACAGAAACGCTGATGATCACAAGGCTGAAGTGCCTTGGTGAAAACATCAGCAGTGTTGGCCTGAGAGGCCACGTAAGCAAGACGAAGCTGGCCACGCTGCTGCAACTCTCGAGCAAGGAAGTAGCGCAGAGCAATGTGCTTCGTTCTGTGCTCCAGTCTGTGCTCCTGACACAAGGCCAGCATGGCCTTGTTGTCGACGTACAGAACTGGAGGAGAACGAGGCGCCTCTCCCAAGTCAGTCAGCAGGTAGGTGAGCCAGCGTAGCTCCTGTGCAGCCATGGCCCCAGCGTAGATCTCAGCCTCAGAACTGGAGCTGAGAACAGAAGAAGAACGGGTAGACCGCCAAGAGACAGAACCGGAGCCAAGACTGAAGGTGTAACCCTGTGACGACCGCTGCGTAGCCAAGTCGTCAACCCAGGAGGCGTCAGCGTGACCAGTGAGGACAACTCGAGCCCGTCCTCCAAGCACGAGCCCCATGCCCGATGTACTGCACAAGTATCGCAACACCCTCTTCGCAGCATCCCAGTGCACCTTTCGGTGCCTGCCGGGAGCCACGTAGCGAGCCAGAAGGCTGAGAGGGTATGCGAGGTCAGGTCGTGTGCAAGTCATCAGGTACATGAGGCAGCCCACAAGCTCTGGATACGGGCCACTCGGCTCTACGGACTCGTCCGAAGGTGGAGCTGACAGCGAGTGACCGGTAGGCAGAGGAGTGGACTGTGGCGAGGAGTACGTGAAGCCGAAGCGCTGAAGGACCTGCTGCACCATGTGTGACTGAGTCAAGGTAATGGTGCGCTGTGCTCTGTCCCGGGTGATCCGCAAGCCAAGATAGCTTGTCAGCTCACCCAGGTCTGTGCACGTGTGTCTCTTCTGCAGCTCCGACTTCACCAGGGCGAGAGCCTCAGTGTCAGCAGTGGCAAAGACCAAGTCGTCGACGTACACGAGAACGTAGAACGGCGGCAGCGAAGTGTCGGTGCGCAAAAACAGCGACGGGTCAGCAGTCGACGGAGCAAACCCAAGAGCCGCAAGTGTCGTCCTCAGTGTGTCGTGCCACTCACGTGGCGCCTGGCGGAGACCGTAGACCGGCCGCCGGAGGCTCCACTGGGTACCAGGAGGGAACTCCAACACCGGCAAGTGCAAGTCCCACGTGTTAATGTCGTCCTTGCACGCTGCGCGCAAGAGTTGTTCCACAATTTGGTTCAAGCGCTCTGACTGCCCATCGGTCTGGGGATGATATGCAGATGGCATTGCTAGGCGTGTCCCCATGAGCGACATGAGCTCTTTCCAGAACTTGCTAGTAAACTTGGGGTCCCTGTCGGATATGAGGGTTGCTGGGATCCCGTGCTGTGAGATGATGTGTTTGAGGAATAGCTGTGCCGTTTCCTCTGTGCGTGCGGTTGTATGTGTCGGAATGAAGTGTCACATCTTTGAGAATTTGTCGATGACGACCAGGATGGCGTCATGCCCCGCATTGGTAGGTGGTAAACCGGTGATGAAATCCAAGTTGACCACTTGCCAAGGCTGTTCCGGGACGGGTAAAGGCTGAAGAAGTCCTGCTTTCTTCTGCTTACTGCTTTTCATCCGCTGGCACGTGTCGCACGAAGTGACAAACTTTTGCACGTCGTTTGCCATGTGAGGCCAGTAGTAGACTTTCGCAATCCCGGCAAGAGTCTTGTTACTCCCGAAGTGTCCAGCGTAGAGCACGTCATGGAATTCTTCGAGAAGCAACTGCCGAAGAGGCGGGTAGTTGGGTACCCATATCTTTGTTGATCCTTTGCGTAGTGCGACGTCGTGGTCCCACTGCAACAATTTCTTTTTCTCTGCTAAGGGAATCTCGGGGTCGATGGTATACCCGTGCGTGAAGAGTCCCTTGAGTAGCGGATTCATCCCCTCAATCTGTATGGCGGCAACGTGTCCAGGCCGGCTCAGTGCGTCTGCCTTATTCTTGTGTCCCGGCTTGTACACGATGTCGTAGTCGAAGTGCGTCTCGAGGAAGTCAATCCACCTGACTTGTCGTCTGGAGAGGGTCGGCTGCGTTTTCAGGTATTTTAGGCTCCAATGGTCAGTGTAGACCGTGGTCTTTCTCCCTTCGAGGTAGCATCGCCATGTCTTGAATGCCGTGATGATCGCTAAGGCCTCTTTGTCGTGAATCGGGTAGTTGAGTTCTGCCCCGTGCAATTTCTTGCTGAGGTAGGCGATTGGTTGTAGTCCTTTCCCTTGGTCTTGCATCAAGACTGCTCCAACTGCTTGGTCGCTAGCGTCAGCTTCGATGACGTAGTCTTTTTCTGGATCTGGCAGGATCAGGACGGGTGCGGACGTGAGTGCGGTCTTCAACTGCTCCATGGCTTGCTGGTGCACATCCTCCCACTTGAACGGTGTATTATTCTTCAGTAGATTGGTGAGAGGTGTTGCAATCTTCGCATACTGTGGCACGAACCGATTATAGTAGTTCGCAAAGCCAAGGAATTGCTGAAGTTCCTTCACGTTCTCCGGTGTCTTCCACGTACGTACGGCTTCGATCTTCTTTGGGTCGACATGGACTCCTTGAGCGCTCACCATGTGTCCAAGGAACTGAACTTTCTTCAAGGCAAACTCGCTCTTGGATAGCTTGACGTAGAACTTCTTCCGTCGAAGTATCTCGAAGACACGTCGTAGGTGTTCGATGTGCTGCTTCATGTCCCTCGAGTAGATCAGGATGTCGTCCAGGTACACCACCACGCATTCGTCGAGTAGAGGCCTAAGAATATGGTTCATTTCGGCCTGGAATGTAGCGGGTGCGTTGGTGAGTCCGAACGGCATGACGAGGTACTCGTAGGATCCGTATCGTGTCCGAAACGCTGTTTTATGGATGGAGTTATCCGCCATCCGGATCTGCCAATATCCCGATCTCAAATCGAGTTTTGAGAATACTGTGGCTCCACGAAGCTGGTCAAGTAGATCGTCGATCCGTGGAATCGGATACTTGTTCTTGATCGTCCGCTTGTTGAGGGCTCGGTAGTCGATGCACATGCGTAAGCTTCCGTCAGGTTTTGGTGCACCGTATGGTGATGTTGATGGTCGAATGAGTCCTTTGTCCAAAAGGTATTCGATCTGCTTCTTCATGTCGGCCAACTCGGTAGGGCTGAGTCGATATGGTGCTCGGAAGGTCGGTTTTGAACCAGGTTCTTCGATGATCTCGTGCTGGTGGGTTCGGTATGGCGGCAACTGGTCTGGAAGGTCGTCAGGGAGAACGTCTTCGAACTCTTCTAGAAGTTTCTGGACTGCTGGTGGAAGCTCGAGCGTTTTTCTCTCTCCTTCGTCCTCGTTGGTAACCAGTGCAACAAACCCTGCCATGGTTCGCTTCACGTCCTTCTCGAAGCGTGCGAGGTCTCCTCCGGAATATCTCCCGTGTTGCTCCAATTCGGAAGAGGAACTCTTCTGTCTTGATTGTAAATACTCGCCGTGCGGGTGACCCAGTTGATCTCGGGGTTGAACTTCTTCAGAAAATCTCTCCCAAGAATCAAGTCTAGCCCTTTGATGTTGGTGACGGGTAGGGTCGGTTTCCAGCGAAGAGGACCCATCTGCAGGTGTAACGTTGCTTCGCCGTAGACTTGTAATTTGCTTCCGTCAACCATCGTAGCTGTGAAGTTTGAAGGCGTGTACTTCTCATTGATGCGTTCGAGGGTTGCTTTGTCGCATACTGAATGGGATGCTCCGCTGTCCACGAGTGCTTGGAGGCGTCGTCCATTGCAGATCACCTCGAGCAAAAGTGGTTGGCGTTGCTCGTTGTACCCGTTGATCATCTCGTTGATTGGATCATAAGGCATTTCCCATAGCTCTGTATTTTCTCCTAGGGTGGCAGATGGCCGGTCCTGCCGTTCCCTATTGCCATGATTTTTTGTTGTCGTCGACGACGTGGTTCTCGAGCTCGTAGTAGAATTCATAGATGGGGTAGATACCGTAGATGTTTCAGATGTTGCAGATGCATCTGTAGAGGAGGTTTGAGGTCGTCGCAGCTTCATGTTGACCTCCAGCTCCCTCTTGAGCTGCTTCAGCGCCACCGACTTCTTTCGTGGGGACCGGTTGGTCGACGTGGGCTGGTTTTTCAGAGAGAGGACGATGTCGTCGTTGGAAGGTCGATCTTCCACGCTCCGTTGTTGGTTCCCCATGCGCAGCTGCTGTAGTTGTCGTACCGGTACATTCTTTTTCTTCTGGAGCCTCTCTCGTGATTTCACAAAGGCCATAGACCCAAGGGAATGTTTTCCAAGCATCCTTGTATGATATTTTGACTGGATGCTTACTTTTTACAGGGCCTTTTTGGAGTTGTCCGGGTCCAGCAGGTGTCAGATAT